CATAACTAAAAATATGAAATACCCAAATACAACTAAATAATCAACAAATTTCATTTTTAGGAAAAATATAGTTAAAATATTAATTATCAAAATGAAGGTGATAAATGATTTTACCATGGTAAACAGTTGTGACAATAAAAATTACAAATTAAATTTTTAATTTAAGTATGTATTATAATATTTAAAAATAATTGATGRATAATTAAATCATTAAACTATTTAAAATTGGATTATTTCAAAATAAAAAATACTAATCAAAAAATATTTAGCCATTTAGTTTTTACAAATAAGTATACAAATTAAAGTTATACTTATAAAAAATGTTAAGTGAACTAGAAATATCCAATACGCATTACTGAAATAGATTTATTTATTTGTTTGTTTATTTAAATATATAAAATATGATCACTTCCTAGARTAAATTTTTTATAATTCTTGTAAAATACATTATAATAAGATTATAGTGGTTGGAATAATGGCTGTATATATCAATATATCTGGAGTAAAAATGATATTAATTAAGCAAAATTGTAAAAACTAAATCAAACTTTTACTTTATTTAAATTATTATATTATTATATAAATAGGACCATAAAGGTTAACTTTTGAATATAGTATACACAGTTATTAGTTAATTTATTTTAGATTTGTTTTATTGTTGATTGTTAAAACAAGATGAGACTTATATATATATATACATATTAAAAAGTATGTATAGATTTCTTCGGTAGTTATAAATACTAAATTATAAACAGATAATCTTATTAAATAATAATGGAAGTTTAACATGATGATATGCAAAATAAGACACGAAATTAATAATAACTAAATAGCTTGTAATTATAAAATTAAACAGATACCAAAATATATTATTTATGATTTGGTTGTAAACTATATAGATTAAATAAAATATGCGATAGGGATTCAATAAATGTATTCAATTACTATAGTAATCAATATATTTATACCAGATACCGAGATACCTACATTATAATATATACATATATAGGTGTATGTGTGTATAACATTCAAACTCATCTATTTAGGTAGTATACAATAGTATAAAACATGTATTAAAATTGCACGGTCTGACTTTATCCTCATCTTCAGGACTTGCACATCCAATCTTTGGCTCGAACAATGGGGTTCACTCCTTCCTTACTTTACCACCYGGTACAGAAATATCTCTCCAACCATCCCAACACCTAGGAATACAACCTCAATCTTTCTAGGAAATGCATAATATTTTTCTCCAGTCTCCGGTTTGGCCACACAAGACTTCCTTCTCATTCCTTTAAACTGTCACTGAACGATTCCCCTTTCTGCACACTACACAATTATCCAATAGTCTGTGATATCAGTCACTTACTATTCATCATTCCCAGCTTATCAAATCAATACATCATGACCGTCTACTGTCCCTTTTAAACTCCTCCAATATCCCTTTCGATACTATATAAATTTTCCCAAATCAACAAAGAAATATCATATTAAATAAATTATCTTTCRTCAACCATATATGCTTTTTTATTTAATTATATATTGTTTTAATTTTTTATTTTATTGTAAACAATTATTATATTATATTGAATAATTTTTAAAACTAATTGAATAGACAAAGTTTAAATAAATTTTWWAAAAAAACATGACATATTATATTATATAGTTTTTAAGAATTTTCATCTTAAGAACATCAATCGTTTAACTATTTACTATTACAGTTATTATAATAATTGTTGAGTGAACATAATGTGATGAACTTTCATTATTGTATAACCAAAAATTTGTATCTACCAACTATATATATATTTTGTTTTTAAAATAAATTAGGTCAGTAGTGATAAAACTGTAGCCAAAAAGCTATTTTGTGGTAGTATTTTTTGCTGCAGCCAGCAAGTATTATTATATGTATCAGAGGCGTTCTCAGGATTTTTCAATGGAGGGGGATGAAAGAAATTGTTACATAAGTCGTAAGGGTAACCAAAAATAGACATAATATATATCACTAATATGTAAGAAAATAAAGAGCCTTGGGGSGGATCTATCCCCCATATCACCCCCTGTGAGAACGCCCATGATATGTATATTATATAGCTGTATCGGCGACTTGTAAAAATATAATAGTTAAACGCTTATTATACTGCTTGTTACCTTATCGGTTCCCGCAAAAACCTAAGAATATAATTRTTTCGTGAACGATAGTAATAATATTAAATAGGTATCTCAAACGCTATATATAATATTATAGACAAATAACCCACCAACGGAGGTGTCTGTGAGAATACAACTTTGTATTTAGGTATGCATTTCGTTTRTATAATAMTAAATAATATACATAAATAATTATTTTGTTGTTTTCATAATATATATATTTTGAGTATATATAATTGTACACCGTATAATAAAATTATAAGAAATTACAAAAATTAATTTACAATGTTTGCTTCTGTTTTTGTTATGATTATATACGGTGATCTTGTTAAATACAAAAACTTAAGTTTTTCAGATTTACTTTATTATGTATCACATAACAATATTTTTAAAGTACCATTAATTTTAGTCAATTTGTTTAATTTATATAAGCATTAAAATTTCAAAACTGTAAAACGTTTAATAGGAGTATATGAAATTATCAGGATTGCTCGTTTTTAAATAATTAATTGTTTAAATATTATTATATTATCAAATATTACTAATAACACAGGTTTACCCACAAACATTACACAAATTAAAAACTGTATACCTACGATTGGATAAAATGTATAAAGTATCTTGTTTTATACCAACTTAATATACATATTATAAATACCTACTACTTTATAATCGAATTCATGCACGGTTGTTAACATTTGAATTGACATTAAGTATCTAAACTTTTAAAATTGGTTTAGCTATAAAAAAAACATCTCTCTTTAATATTAATTTCACAGTTCATATAGGAATATCTATTTTTATGTTTTTAAAACAAATATTGGTGAAAACTATTAACTCATATTATTAAAGTTATAATTATACCTATCTACTTGAATTTATAATAGAGTTATTCAWAAATTAAAACTTATTTATATTGTAATAAATAAAAACTACCATTGTTAAAATAATATATTATGATCTATTACTTTCATTACCTATATAAATTGTAGATATTTATTGAAATACAACATTATTTGTTTATACTAMATTAAATTAATTTAGGAATTTCTGATATATATTACATATAAATGGCTAAGACTTGAAATATTTAAATGTATATCTATAATAATAATAATTTTATATTTTAATTTTTAAATACAACTGTAATTATTTTAAATATATGTATGCGTGTTTTTAATAAACAAAGTAGTTAACCATGCAATACTATGCACTATAATAATTATTATACATTATACCTACCTATAATAGTACTTTAAAAAATAWGCTATATAAATATATATTTTGTATGTTGATAATATATAATATTCATATTTCATATAAGTACTTCTATGTGAAGTGATGTCATAGCAAAAACATTTTAAATAAGAAATAATAAAATGTATTAACTAATATTTATTTTTCAAGGTTGAATTCTTACATGCATTTAACAGGTTAACCGGCAACTGTTATGTGTACCATTTTTGGTACATGGTTGATTTGCATTTTAAGTTAACCTATACAGAAGTAGCACAGTCCATAATCAAGAATTACCGACTCGAGTATTCAATCTATTGTCGTGTTGTGTACAATGACGTTAACCTGCGGATGCAGTGACTTAATTTGGTTAACAATATTTTGGTGTTGCAAAAAAATAAAAAACATTAAAATTAAATAAATAAGTATATTCAACAAGAGTTATTATTTATTTATATTTACCCCTGCTATATCACATGTAGATTTATCGATAGTAATCGCCAATCGGATTTTTGTGACCTAATCTGTGAGTAG